GTTTGAAAATACCAGCCCAATCAACCGGTTTTGGACGAAACTAGTTCCTCGGTTTCCACAACAGTTCCAGACGAAMMAAGGGTAATTGTAAAATAGACGAAAACCATGTACTATATTCTAGAACACTTTTTTCCATTCTTCTCTTTTCTGCTATCTTTAGCAAGATCCTGATACCATTTCTGGCGCGGYATGTTTGGAAAAAGCAGATAATGTTGAGGTATTTAACTTCCAGGCTGTGCTATCACGGGAGACACGGGAAGTTATATATCCTTTTTTACAATTTTTAATTATTACATAGAAAACYGAACAAGAAAATACTTCAGCTGAAAGTGGAACAGCCACGGAAAACCATGTTTTAGAGGTAAATCATCTTTGGTCGAATACGCAAAACACCAATAACGAGAAAACACTTTAAGGTTTAGGTTGGCATTGCATTTTTATTTGCCTTAGCTCAGTTCCTGGTGTCAATCATKCGTAGAAATGATTGCAGCCCTCATTTATTTATATCACATGCATTTTTTGTTTGAAAATAACAGCCCAATCCACCAGTTGTGGACGAAACAAGTTCTACGTCCGTAACTGTCCCAGAAGAACAAAAGGTAATTGTAAAATAGACGAAATTAAATCAAAGGTTATATACTCTTCCTTTTTTCCATTTTCCTTTTTTTCCATTTTTCCTTTTTCTCTTTTATGATATTTTTAGCAAGATCCTGGTACTATTTCTGTGGAAAAAGCAGATAATGCTGAGGTATTCCAAGCTGTGTTAGCACAGGAAGTTATTTGTCCTTATTTACAATATCTAACACGAATTACTTAGGAAACCGAACAAGAAAACACAGCTTCTGCTGCAAGTGAAACAGCCACGGAAAACAATGCCTTAGAGGTAAATCATGATCACATTTGGTCGAACTCTCCAATCACAAATAACGAGAAAACACTTTTAAGTGTTTTAAATTAAAATTTGTTTCAACAGCAAGATCGAACAGATAATAAGAACTTACAATATATATTTTTTAGAGATAAATCAACTCATAGACTGCATTTTTGCATTGATGCTGTTCATGATTGAACTTTTTCTTTGCTTTGTATATATATCTAGCAAAGCCAGGACACTCCCCAAGACAACATTCCTAGCAAAGCAAGTTTACGTTCACCAGACGATAATCCCGACGAAACTTCCAGGGTATCTTGCATTTACGAAAGTGTTTACATATCAAATTTATTAAGAAAGGCTTACTTCTTTGTTTTCAACGATTTCAAATAGGAAAATTGTTCCATTGAAGATGTAATGCACTAGTCAATTGAAACCCCCGCCCACCGACCCCCGGGGCTAGCGGGGCACTGAACGGGGACGTGACGCGTTTTGAACGTGCTTTTAACAGCAAGATTGCCCCGGAATAAAATAACGGGGCAACAGTAGCGGGGATTTCAACAATGAATGTGGCCCGACTACCAGGGAAAATGTCTTATTTTAACACCACTCAAACGTAAATTCCGCGGTATTCCCCGGGGCCCATATTTGACATATTTCACAAAGAATATCCTTAATTTACTCATTTATTTAATATTTTTCAACAATTAGGAAAATGCCAGCGCTAGTGCCTCTACAACCGAATATGCGACAGCGGCGGAACTGAACTTAGAGGTAATAAAATACAGTATTCAAGAAAACGGCAACGCCAGTCGTACTACACGACAAAAGTTCAACGCTCAAACGTCGAACTATCCTTGAGCCGAACTAAATGCACAAATTTAACTTTTTTCTAAAATCTGTGGATGCAATTGCATGTTATCGGACCGTCTATATACAAGGTCGAATCATTGTCTTCACCAACGCTTTGAGGCGAAAAAAAATTGCGCGAATAAGTTTTTGCTACTGACTTTTGTTCCCTCGTATCAAATGTTAAATTAGGAGGCAAGTCTGTTGTTGGAGCGTGTTGCGAGAGCAAGCTCCCATGTGCATACCACGTATGAATCAGGGACATACTAAATATGATTTGGGTCGAAACAAACTGTTTGAATCGGCTCGAAGATATATGACGACGAGTATAAATCTATGTAGGACACTGAAACTTTTTAGTGAATACCATTGATGTATTTCCACTTAATAAAGTGGATACAATCTTTTCAGGAGGTAACGCTGTACCACTACACCACTACGGAAGGCGCGATAGGTATAAACAGAGATATGAGAGTGAGGAAAGATCATCCGGCGCCATGGACTAGACGGCACAGACATGGAACAGGTAGCGAGTTCTCAACTCCGGGATAAAAAAAAGTGGTAACTTTGATGCTTCGTGCAATTATAAGGAATTGGATTCGAAATGCCTGTTCAATGCATAAACCTTTTCTGAAATTCTTTCGTTAGTTTCTTTAGCTGCTATTCAATATACCAATTCTAATATTTTTGATTATTAATCATATCCTGTTGATTATTTATTTTTCAATCCTGTTTAAATGTAGGCGTGTATTTCACGAGACTTGACCATTATACACCACAAAGAACTCTAATAAAAAACAATTTTGTCAACCAAGGACAGTATCTGAGAGATGAATTCAGGTTTATTGACAGAATAATGTATGTCGTGAAAATAACATTTTATAAGAGGGATGTGGAAGAAATCAGCGATGGAAGCAGAGATCTTTGGGTTCACCACGAAGACATCGACCTCAATGACTACATAGGTAGATACAGTATTTATCCACGACAGAATCCAAGAGCAGTACTCTGACAATCGAACAGATCACTTTTTCTAAGAAATGATTCTTGGATAGCGGCAAGCAAAATCGTTCGACTGAAGTTAGGATACACTTGTGGTAACTCAATTCTTATCAGAATTCAAATCTCTGAATCAGCACCGTGTAACAGCACCATGGTATAACAGTAGTTTATAAGTAAGATAATGTTATCACTGCCGTGGATGTACAGTTTTTTNCGATAACTCGTATACCGCAAAATATATAGTAACTAGAAGGAGAACGCGTGAGATAACTCGAATGATAACACGAGATCACTCTACAGCGAGTTAAATATAATGATAACTTAGGCAGGATTACTGGAGTTGACTCGCACGATAACTCGAAGAACGCTTTTTAACTCGAGGGAAATGCGAGACTGACGAACCGAATAGCAGTATGGTTTATTTTGAGATAATGGCGGATAGTTTAAAAGAAAATGTGCTCGACAGAAAGGCTACCCTTCGTTTATTGAAGGCCCTCTTCAAGAAAATACTGATCAACGGAATTGTAGATTTACTGGGGGTGTAGCCATGTCATGTTGAACTATATTTGGAGACAAAGAATTTAATCCCTATGAAATGAACGAAAAATAGTGCAGGTAGAAAGGGACTTTCACAGCGATGTAAAATTTTAATGTTTTAATCTTCTTTTTAGTTATCTTTTTACTTTTTAGTCATTTTAGCTTGTTTTTAGGAAGATAAATGAACTTGTATAAGAAAATATTTTGTTAAAACAATGTTATACAATGTCGTATGAAATACATACAAATTTTAGTTTATTAAAGTTTATAAATGCACTTTTCCAAACGGAGTGTCGAAATGTTGGAGCTTCGAACGAATATCCAAAGATTTTATTGGTTGGTAGTATTGGAAAAGGGCTAATGCTGAAATATTTGAATAACTTAGATTCTGTGCCGAACTGAGCCCAGTTCTTACCCATCAGGGGTAGTCTGTACAATCGGCTTGCTGAAAATCAAGTGGTCTCTTTTAACAGTCGCGGCTTCCGGTCTCGTCAAATTTGAAAAGTAATTTGAAAGTATTTGAAAAGTCAAGCGAAGGACTACAGAGAACTCTGGATTAATTTATTATACCTGGGCCCTCTTATTTGCAAGTAGAACCCACATAATTCTTACTGTTTCAAGATGTTATCGATTCTAAGTATTCCTCGGCTATAGCTTGAATTGCACTACCGACCACTACCGTCATATATACTTAACATAAAATGTCAGTGCATGTTATAACCCAAACAAGTTCCGTTGCTATGGATGCTGGAAGCGTCATCACTCATTTCTGGGAATCCGAGATCGCGGGATATCATCTCATCGTAGATTTCCGGGATTATATCTCTGTGACATACTGAAAAACACTGTATTTTTGTAGTATAAAAAGTGCAATTTAGACCCAAATATGAGTTACGAGGTAAGTTATATTAGTAACTTTTAAAATAAAACCAGCGATGAGAAATCATGGTGAATATTAGTCGTCGCGGAGTCTTCCAGACACGCTGTGACACATTAGCAATCTATGCTTAAAATATTCAGAACAAAAATATTTTTTCAATGCAAAATATCTTAAAGTTGATTTTAAACGCGCCGAAATGTTCTTGTCAAGCTCATCTCGATCCTGAGTCATTTCGCGCTGGTAACTTTCCTCTGCATTGGCCTACCACGACGACTTGTAATTCCACAAGAGAATTTTAATTAGCTTGTGATTATCTTGTGAAATGATTGCTAATATTGAAAACGTTATATTAGATGTGACATTTAACATGTAATATTCTCCTCTAGCTAGTCAATCTAGAAATTTCGCAGAATGTTTTAAGATGAGCTTGGGTGCGTTTAATATTGTACGTTTGTATATATAATTATGTTGAATTTGATATCAATTTAATTATAAAAAACAAGTAACAAATAATAGAAGGGAACATACCTAGTGCCAAATTTCACAAGTGACTCGTTGTACTAAGTGTGTTATTTATATTGTAATGTTCTGCTCTGTTTTTTGTAGATTAGATGAGCTTGAATGGGTTTATTGTACGTTTGTTTATATAATGACTTTATGTTGAATTTGATTTTGATTTAATTTGGCCTTTCAAACTCAGGCTAGCTAGGCTAGGCTTCAGCTAGGCCAGCTAATAATTAGGAAGGAATTTTTAATATACTAGTATCTAAAATCACCTGAATTGATCGAATTCACCAAATAACGAGATTTAACTTAAGTTTCGTTTTGTATCAGTGAATTTCCATTGTGATTTTGTTTCAACGATTTCAACGTGAGATACGGAAAAAATATAGTAGAGCCGTGCTTATTTGTACTAAAAGTGGACCTGAAGCAAGACGGTATTGAATGCTTCATTCAATTTAATTTGCGTACCTCATGCAAGGATGTACTAATTACAACTAAATAGCACTGTTTAGTCTGTACAGTTTCACGGTTTAAGTGCAAAATCAAAACCGTAATTTACATGCAATTCACGTTATAAAAGTAGTCAGTCAGTAAAAACTGATAATTTAGATAGTTACTACTTTGATTGTGTTTCACGGAAAAAGTGCGTTGACTCCGTAGGACTACGAATTGTATAGGTGGATCTTTGCTGACGTCATTGTTTACATTTTGTTTTTTTCGGCTAACACCACATACACACTGAATATTGAAAGAACTCTGTAAGATTAGCTGTTATTGATAATTTGAGCTAAATCCATGGAATAGATTTGGAGTAATATGGTTTTCAAAACTACGAATTTTACAAAAGAATGTATGGGCTCATTAGCGTTTTGCCACACAGCCCGATTTTCCATTGTTCTCAAAACTGATATATCGTGTTTAAAATTGCATGCAAAAAGCTCAAAGTGTTGTGAAATCTGTAGATTTACGAGGTTTTCTAAGTTTTGATTTAAGTTTTCTTATTTCGTGGCTTTTTTCTGTGTGGCAAAGTCTGTGTGGCAAAGCGCTAATGAGCCCATACATTCTTTGTAAAATTCGTAGTTTTTATAATGATTTGTCCAATATAGACGACTTGTTACGATTCGTCATTTGTATTTTACCAATTGTATTTATTCGTGAAGTCATTTTCATTGTGACTTTGCGAGTAGATTTGACTTTAACTGCTGATTTGAAGTAGAGAAATAAGATAAGGCAGTTACACGTACTACTTTCAGATTCAACCTTTAATCGCCATAGCATTGAAAAAGCAAAGAAATATGGGAACAAATTCACCAATCGTTCCATCGGGACCATTCGTCATGAATTGAAGGCCTCATTCTCTCGTTCAATCTGAAAGGAAATGGTATCCCTGTGCAGCACAGCATCGATCTCTATGAGGCCTCAAAACTCTTACCATTCGTCCCGATCGAACCATTGGTAATGGGCTTTTACCGGTCCTCTCGAAGGAATTCAATTGGTGTGCTGTGAAACATAAATGCTGTGGATGTTGTTCTTGAGATTTCAAAGCGGATTATTATTCGAAAAATATGAGGCTGTCACGCGTACTACTTTCAGATTCAACTTTTAATCGCCATAGCATTCAAACAGCAAATAAATATGGGAACAAATTCGCCAATCGTTCCATCGGGACCATTCGTCATGGATTGTAGTCCTCATTCTCTACGCAAATCGTGAGAAATATTTTTTGCTGATATAAATATCTATTCATTACCTCGGGATGTTGTGGTAGAGGTGAGGAGATATCGTCATTAAGACAGGGATCCCAGATGGCTTTATGAACGAAGCATGTATGGATTATTTGATGGATGGTTTGTTGTGACGTCAACCAATTGAATTCCTCATATACGAGTGGAGTTTATCTTATACCAATGGTTCGATTCGTCATTAAGACAGGGATCCCATTTGAACAGATTTTGACACCAAATGACTTCTTGAAGTCAGAATGGATCTAGAATTGACCACCAATAGAGACGAATGGAGTTAGACTATTTACCATTCGAGTCTATATGGTCTATATTGGCCATGAGTGAGTTTTTAAAGCCATATTATGCGAAATCTATCAGATATATCAAGCTCAAATTTTCGTGGAGTGCTAATTGAGCTAATATCTGTAAATATTCAGTATAGATTTGGATTTAGCTTGTTTAAAAGCAAAAAAGCTTATGCTAATGAGGAAAATCATGTAAACAAAGATCCACCTATAAAGCCGCTAAGCTAGACACTTGAAACTGCTTGAATACCACTGAATGTATTAAATGGATAAAATCTTATCAGGAGGTAACGCTTTACCACTACACAACTGAGGAAGGTGCGAGAGGTATAAAAAGAGATATGAAAGTGAAGCAAAATCATCCCACAACATGGAATAGACGGAACAGACATGGAACAGGTAACTATAGTTCTATAGTTCGACTGGTGAGTTAAAGTTTTTCCTCGACCTGGAGCACGTCTAGCATACTAAAGTTGCTAGAGGATTGTGTGATAATGCATTCTATAGCTTTTTTCTTTCTTTCTTAGCATACATCCCTTAGCTTTACGCTCCTTTTCAATATTTCAATCAAGGAGTCTTCATATTTGGTGGGAACTAGCGGTAAACTAGTGTGAGCTGCGTCGGTGTTTCTAAAGAAACAGTTGTGTAAAAAAAATAAATTTAACACCCTTGTCTAAATGTAGGCGTGTACTTCACGAAACTTGACCATGGCAATCCAGCAAACACTCTGATACAAAACAATTTCGTGAACCGAGGACAACGTCTGAGAGATCCATCCAAGTTTATTGACAGGATAAGCCACGTCGTAAAAATAACATTTTCTAAGGAGAATGTGAAGAAAATCAACGATGGAAGCAGAGATATTTGGGTTCATCAAGGAGATATCGATCTCAATGACTACATAGGTAGATACAGAATTTATCCACGACTGAATCCAAGAGCAGTACTCTGACAATCGAACAGATCACTTTTTCTAAGAAATGATTCTTGGATARCGGCAAGCAAAATCGTTCGACTGAAGTTAGGATACACTTGTGGTAACTCAATTCTTATCAGAATTCAAATCTCTGAATCAGCACCGTGTAACAGCACCATGGTATAACAGTAGTTTATAAGTAAGATAATGTTATCACTGCCGTGGATGTACAGTTTTTTTACACTTTTCTAGTAAAATAATAAAAAGATAATAGTGAAACGTTCAACAGTGCACGAGAGCTCATGCAATTGTGAAAGAATGAAAACGCTCGACATCTTCGAAATCTTTAATATCTTTAAATTTTCATACATAACTCTCATGCATGCGTCAAAAGTGCTTCTCGTCTCTTCAGTTACAAAGAGTCCCGGGCGAAGAGTAGTACGTACACGTAATTATTTGTACATAAACATTTTGGATTTGTCTCTTGAAATTGAATTCCGGTTAGAAAAATGACAACAAGAAAATGTTACTTTTTGCATCGGGTGTTGATGTGGAGTTCGAAGGTAACCTTGTACGTAGWCCGATGCCATRCTTACTGCGTTAGACGCTATTACACGYACTCGTAGTCATTATTGATATTACTAATGATGAAAGTTTGTGGAGAAAATAACGCATTAAATTTCTTACACTTATCCGACCTTATCCTGCTTTCTAAAAAAATATACAAGCAAAAATTGGCTCTTATTTCAATATTCTGGGTTTTATGTATTATACAGTATCATGCTTGCTTTCCTTTTCGCACAACTTTTCCAATGTTTTTTCTCGGATCAACKGCAAATTTACAGCACTTTTAGCTAAAAAGCTAATTTGGGAAGATTTTGGCCTAAACTCCGTAAATATTTTAATGGATATTCGCACAAATATTTACTGAATTATTTTTGGAAATGTTTGGTCTTATATCTGTTACTGAMGTATTGATAATGGATATCTGTAATAATATATTTTTTTCCCTTTCGCTGTTTTAATCTTTAATTGTTTGAGATTTTGTAGCCGTTCCAGTTCCTGCTCTTGCCTTCCTCTATTTTCATTTTTTTGGACATGTTTAGTTTTCCCAAGCTCTTTTCTCTTTCTTTTCTTCTCGCAATTTAGATATTTACTTTTATTTTCTCATATTTTTATACTTCCTTGTGCTATGTTCTTAATTTGCATAATTTGTTTTATAAATATTCACTG